TTGTTTCTAATGAAATTTTCTTGTTTCTTAATACTTTACAATGTAATATGGCTGTAAGCCCTTTACGGGTGGATAACTTCTGAATTCTAAATAGAATTTCTAAAAAAGATTTCTAGCAACAGACCCAGCAAATGATTCAATGTAATCTTTCCACTTCATGCCAATGGAGTCACTATCCGAGTGGTTGCTATCGACCATGCAGATTTAAGGCAAAAAAAATAAAAGGTTCTCTTGGACAAGTAAAAGAGAGCAGTTTTGTTTTGGAGCATTAAAATTAACAAGCCATTTCATAAAAGAGAGAAAATGGCTACACCCAGGACAAGAAAGGATTCATACCTGTCTCACATATAAGGTATCTAAAAGAGAAAATGGCAGCTTCTCTTTTAATATAGATAGATCTTGGAGTTGGATAGACTCTCAAGAGAATCTCTTTTAACATATATAAATATCGGTCAATCTATAAAAAGTGCATAAGAAGAAGCAACGACGAGACAAAGTGTGACTTCTGTTATAAACAGGAGACAAGTGTTGTGGTCAGTGTTTGACTTATGTTCGTACTGCTACTCTTTTAGTTGAAGGAAACCAATTACATAAATTTCTTACAAGCAAACAGAAACTGACTACAAGTTTCTTACACAAGTTACCTACAGATTATAGATCATTTTTTAGTTCAGCTGCCAATTTGACCTTATCAAACTGATCAGCCTAACATTGTATAGCTGGCCACTCAAGAATACCTTTCTACTAGGGTGGTTAGCCAATCCCTATTGCAGATGCTTTCTCAGGCACATTTGTGTTTATTCAATACCCACAGAGCCCACCTGTGGTTTATGCTGCAACTATGCTTTATTATTTACCATTTTAAAAATTTATAAAGAATTAAAAAATAATCAAAATATGTAAGGCAGCTACAACATTTATCATTTACCATTTTATAAGTAACTATGAAAACAAGTTTTTTTTTTATTTATAATTTTATAAAAATTTCAATGAATTTGTTATAGTGGAACACACCTATTCTATAGTTAATAGACTCTCCCACCTATAATAAGTAGGAGTAGTAATAGTAACGAGGAGTCGCTCTGGGGGTCGGTCAGTCAGTCAATGCCGGACGACCGTTAGTCGGATACTAAAGTATCAGCGACCACAACTAGATTACTCTGCGTCATACCTATTATATGAAGTTCCTAACATTTTGTACGTCAAACCTATTTTAGGACTGACTTAGTACAAATACAAGCCTCCACTGTAAAATCACTCCATAACAGAATTATAAAAATAAATAGTATTTAACATCTTTGTTGTCATTTCTCAAGAATAAAGGAAATGTATAAATCCATTTTCATATGTTTTGGTTTTATTAAAATTTTAATCTTCATTTTTTAAAATGATAAACTTTATGAAATGAAAAGTTATTACAGTAATAACAGTGTTAAGAGAATAACTGTCCTTTTGAAATGCCATTTTCTTTTTTTTTGCAGGCACAAAAGTTAAACATTTCATTTTTTTATGACCACTTGGTTTTTGAAAATTATTGTTCATGAGTAATTAACATTACTCAATTCTTCATAAGATAATACATGAAGGCTAAGTTACTTTAGCATCGTTGATTATGACCTTTCTAGAAATTTTTCCTGATAATAATTCCATGGAAAAAAAATCAATACGTGATATGACTTGTGACTGAACAAGACAGAGGTCAGTGTTCAAACCCAGGTAAAGGAGACTGTTTTGAATGCTGATTTTCTTGGCAGTCTCTCTTCCTTGATGTAATTTTTCTACTTCCATTTTTCTAACATTTGGTTTTGTGCTCTTCAATACTAAGCTTGCTAAATATGAAAAAAATATTGATCTTGTAAATAATCCATTCTCCCTACATCGACATCGACCAAATTGCAAGTACTTATCAAATGTTTTAATCTGCAGAGATTGCCATTTATCATCAGGTAATAACAGCAGGGAGAATGTCTGCAACTGCAAACAAAAATGGCATTGATCTGAGAGATTAAATAGTGGGGAGGTGATGCAAGTTAAGCATAAAAACGATCATCTAATGCAGTGGTTGCCAAACTTTTTTTTTCTCTGGGACATATTTTCAGAATTAAAATTTGCTTGCCCCTCACCAAAGGGAATTCTCAGTGAAGAGACACAAGCAGCCCTATAACAAAGAAGGTCCAGAGAGAATGTTAAAGGGAGATAACTGTGGATTTGAAATGAGAACATTATCATTGATAACTCTCACCTCCAATTTGTGGACCCTAGTTACTATATTTTTAATACTTGATATAATGTAAAAATATCACAATGATAAAATTGGTCAATAATTATTTTTAATTATTTATACTAGGATTCATGCATGCAATTAGAAGTAATCCATAATAATATTTTAAAATTTGAAATCATATTTATTTTTGGCATATGAATTTTTTTAAACAGATTGTAAATCTTTGATTGATTCCACCTCATCTGCTATTCGTTTTCACCACACCTACAAGGTGTGCCACACCATTTAGAAACCACTGATCTAATGCATAATGTAGTTTTTATTGACTTTGTATATTTTACAGACTTTGATCAATAGAATATGTTCTTTTTTGTCTCTTTTCAACCATTTTCATCCAAATCTCTGAAACTACTACAGCTCTTAATATTACAGCACTTGAGTTTTTTCACCATAGGTTGTTTTTTGATTCTAAGCTATATAAATAAAATTGGTTGAATTGTATAATTCTTAAGCTTGGTTAATACTATAATATTATACTTTATTTTGAAACTGATCTCTGATAAGATCTAAAGCCGATTTAATCAGCATCCAAATTTATCCCAATCCCAGATGACCTGAATTCTCATAGCTATTTACCAGTCTGTCTATATTTATAACAGCTCAATTTGATTTGTAATTGTGAGTTGTGATATGCCCAAACACAGTTCACTTATGTAAAGATACATATATCTCATTAAGAGCTCCACTTTTATTTTCAAACATGCACCTTCTACTCAGTGCAGTACATTGATGACCTGAGTAAAGATTTGATAAAAAGCCTCATAAAAGAAATATGGAAGTAAATATTACTCAAAATTAATTATAATGGTAAAAAATACTTGTTAAAAATTGATAATAATGGTTGAAAATGCTTCATCCAATAACAAATGAAGAGGAAAATAGTAGTCAAAAATAAAAATATTAATGGTTGCCAAATGCATCCTCTAATAAATTGCAGATAAAAGCAAATACTAGTCAAAAATTAATCATTGTTGACAATGTTTGCTCTGATCATAATGTAGATTAAAGTAAATACTAATCAAACGTTAATGATAATTCTTGATGATGCTTCCTCGAATAAAGGATGTAGATTAAAATAAATACTAGTCAAACGTCAATGATAATTTTTGATGATACTTCCTCGAATAAAAGATGTAGATTGAAATAAATACTAGTCAAAAGCTAGGAATAATTCTTGTCAATGCTACATGTCTACTTTCAAATTCTATCAAGGCTGGAAAAAGAAGATTAGATAGGGGTAGCTTGGTTATGGTGATTATCTAAGTGCAGCTCAGATGTGACACAAAAGGTCAAAATTCTGGGACACACAGTTAAGTTCAAATTTGCTACTCAGTCATAAATGATTTCCTAAGGATAGTTTACATGTGGCACAAGATCGAATGTATGTACACCCAGTGATGATCAAACTCACTGCTTAATCATAATTGCTCTAGCGAGACAAGCTGGCTAACCATTATCCCACTTTGTTGCACCTGGTTCAGCTCAGATATGATTGTATTTATTTTTCTGATCTGACTCCTGTAAATATAAGTAAATTGAAGGAACATTGGAATAGCAAAAGGTGCTTTCCAAACATTCAGCAAAGTATTAAGAAACAGGGAAATTTCATTGGAAACAAAGAAAAGAGTGCTGAACTGCTATGCAATATCAGTCCTCCTATATGACAGTGAACACTGGATAATTTCATTATATATGAAGAAGAGACTTCAAGCAACAGAAGCTGAGTATATCATGGACTAAATATATGAGCAACAACAAAGTTTTAAAGAAAACAAAATCAATAAAAACAAATACTTAACATCAGAAAGATATCGTTGAAATTTCTAGGGTGCATAATGAGAAAAGGGGGCTTAGGAAATTTGACACTCACAGAACATTTTGAAGTCAAGAGAGATAGAGGAAAGCAGCACGTAACCTACTTAAGCTTATGTAAATGGTTGGTAGAACAGAGATAGCAAAAAGACAAAATTTACTATAGAACAGGAAGTTGTGGGAATTCATGATCTCCACCATCCTGAATGGACATGGCACATCTGAAATTCTTTTCTTCCTCCATTATCACAATCCTCTTAACGGGATATACTCTCTGCTATAACATCTTACTCAATCTTTTCCTTTTGTTCTTTTATCTCTTCCTTTTCTTTTTCTGTTTTTTCAATCCTCCCTCTCTTTTTCTTTTTCCTTCCTCACTCCTTTTTTCTTTTGTTCCTTCCGTTCTTCCTACCTTTTTCTATAATTCCTTCCTCCCTCCTTTTCTTTTTCTGTTGTTTCTTCCTACCTCCCTTTTCCTATTGTTCCTTCCTTCCTTTCTCCCTCCCTTTTTCTTTTTCTTTTTCTTTCCTTCCTTCCTTCCTTCCTTCCTCCTTCTCTTTTTCTTTTTCTGTTTTTCCTTCCAACCTCACTTTCTTCCTTATTTCTTTTATCATTTACTGCCTGTCAGCCTTTCTTCCTCTCTTTTTCTTTCCCTTCCTCCTCCTCATTTCTTTCTTTCACCTTCTTTCTTTGCCTTCTGCCATCTTTTCTTCCACCCTCTATTTGACTTCCTTCCCTCCTCTCTATCTCTTTCTGACTCACTTTCTTCCATCTTTCATTTATGCTTCTCTGCTTTCCTTACTCCTTTCCTCATTTACCTTCTGCTTTCCTTTCTCCCTACCTCTCTCTTCTCCCACTTTCAATCCTTCCTCTCTTGTATACTTCCTTGCCCCCTGATCCCTTCATGTTTTTCTCTATACCTTCCTTACATGCTTTCTCCCTTCTTTCCTTCTTTCTTCTCTCTCTTTCACATTCTCTTTCTGCCTCTCTGCCTCCTCCTTATCTCCTTCTTTTCTTCCTTCCTTTCCTAACAGTCAAGTCATATCACAGAAGTAGTGTTGAGGGGTATTATAAATATCCTACAATCCGAACAAAGGGTTGATAAACCATAAAAAACACATCATAAATCAATTCTCTTCCATCCATTTTTTGTCTCTGCATTACCTTCCTTTCTCCTCTCAATTTCTTTCTTCATCTTTCTCATCACTTCCATCATTGTTCTATACTCTTTTTACCCCTCTACTTCTCTCCTTTTCTTATTATCTCTTTTCTTCTCGCTCTTCATTCTTCTGTCTTTCAACTTCTCTTTCTACCTCTCTCATTATCTCCCTCCTTCCTCTCTTTGTGTTCGTTCCTTTCTACTTTCCTTCCTGTTTTCCATCCTGTATTATTCTTCTATACTCTTTATATCTCCTTACTTTACATCCCCTTCTTTTCTCTATCTTTCCTCCTCTCTTTCTACCTCTCTATTTCCCTTTTCCTCTCTCTGTTTCTTCCTATCTTCTTCTATCTTTACTTCCCTTTCTCTCATCTCCCTCCTGCTGCCACACTTTCTGCCTCCCTACTGCAATCACTTTCTTATTATCCCTCTCCTTCCTCTTTATCAGTCTTCCCCTCTTTCTACTTTCCCTCCTTCCTCTCTTTCTACCTCCCTTATTTATATCTCCCTCTCACCTCCTCTGTTTCTGCCTCCCTCCCTCTATCACTTTCTGCTTGTCCCTTTCTTTCCTCTCTCCTTCCTACCTTTGTTTTTCTTCTCCTCTTTCTACCTTCCTGTGTCTGCCTCCTTCCTTGTTATGTCTCTTTTGTTTTTCTTTCCTTCTTTCTTCCTCTATCCTTCCTCCTCTCTTTCTACCTTCTTTCTATCCATATCTTTTACTTTCTTTTACCTCACCTATTATTATTTCCAAAAAAAATGCTTGCTTTTAACTAAAGTGTTTGGATACAGAGGAAAAAAGTGTGGCAATATTCAAATTCTTATTTAGTCTTCTCTTTGTGACTCAGATCAAAACACATTATTGATTTTTAATGCATTTTCAATGAAGCTGGCCATTTGCATTTCAAAATTTGCCACCCTTGCTGAATGAAAACTTTTGTATTTACAATAGATTTAACGTACTGCTATCCAGGCAAAAACATCTGTGAGTTAGTGTGTAATCAGACACAAAAATATTTAGTTTATTTCAGTCTGGTACAGAGTCAGGACAGGAAAGGAAGAAACATTGTGTTGTACCTATCCCCAAAAGGGGAGAGAGTTTTCTTAAGTTGATATCCAGCTAATTTCTGTCTGAATTTCTGGGACAAAGAGTTTTCATGATTTATATTTGGATTATTATCCTTATCTTTGTTGTTAGAACAATTCAGCCATTGTGCTCCGTGGCCTTCCTCAGTGAAAATGAATGAGCTATAACTGAGCAGTACAAAAAATAAGAACTAGATGAGATATCCCTAGATATGAGCATAAATTTGTTACAGATTTGAATCAACCCACAACAAAGAAAAAGGCAAGAAAGATTTTTAAATATAAAGATATAAAATATTTTTATTTTTGCAAGTCACTTTTTCTCAGCATGTATAAGTTTTAAAGTTAATGTGTTAAAGTTCCTTGTTTGTTAAGATAATGTCTTAAAATAACTGTCGGACTTTGTCCATTTCATAATGTTTGACATCATTTGTTTCCATTTGGTTACGCATCGAGCAGATATGAATGTACGTGAAAAAAATCATGGAAAATTGTAGTTTAAAAACAGTAAAATCAACCTTGCTAACCGAAATGCTCCTCTGTGGCAAAATTAGTAAAAGCATGTCAAGCCATATGATGGTTCTGTTTAGGATACAGGTTCGATTCCTGTTGGAGGATGCATATTTTCTATGACAATTTCTCAGACATTCAGACTGGTAAATGTCGTTAATACTGTTTATTATAAACAGAGCATTTACTTAAATATTTGTATCTATAAAAAAAAGAAAAATGAATGTATAAACATAAAAATGTCTTAAAATAAAAAGAAATGTGATTTTTATGCATGTATGAGTGAGAAAAAAGAGGCAATGGAGAAAGTGAGAAGGAAGTGTAAAAGTGTCATGTAGCTTGGTGAGGAAGAGTGTAAGTGTCACATAGCTTAGCGAGAAATAGTAATGTCATGTAACTTGGTGAGGAAGATGTGTGAATGAGTAAGGGAATCATTATCTCCTTACTGGTTTTGTCAATCTCAAGACTTTACTTAAATACTCTTCAAAGGGATCATGAATCATGTTTTTTTTATTATTGGCAGGAATATGTTAAATACTTATTTGCAAAGGATTAATTTATTAACTGGAAGGATGCATGAATCCTCTGACTCAGAAACCATTTTTTTTATTTAATGATTGACTGTCATGATGTTCATTTCTATCTTCACTCCACAGATTAAATAAAGTCTGAATGTAAATACTGATATCAGGCATTTCAAATCACAGCTTTAACCTGGGCTTGAACTCAGAGAGCATAAGGATCTGTCACTGCTGAGGTTGCCTGGTTCACACATAAAAAGGATGAATGTTTTTGTGTAAGTTTTGTAGATTAGCATTCATTAAATGTTCCTCTATCCAAAACATTTTCAAAGTCGGGGTCCTATTCATAATGCAGATAGTATGTCAAATCAATCCCTGACTTTTTAGAGTTATCTGTACTTTATTTTTATTTACAAAAATGTTACGTGTCCTAGCTAAGATGTTAAACTACATCCATGTCCTGGGTAAGATGATAAGCTACATCCAGCAGCAAGGCCTCTGATCAGGAGGTTTTGAGGAGCATGGAACCAAGTCTTAATTGCTGGTGTTCCCAGGTCCATCCTGACCCGGGGTGGTAGCACCTGTTAGGGTCCCAGCTATGTGCAAATAGTTAACTATTACCAGCAATACTTTTTTGAAGAAAATTATTACCAGCAATACAATTTTGAAAGAAAAATATTACCAGAAACAGATTTTCGAGAAAACAAAATATTACCAGTAATAAAAAATGTTGTCGGCATTAAATAACCCATTGAGGTTGATATGTTGTAAAACAAAATAAACCAAACCAAACCAAAAATATCAATATGACATATCACATTGAAACATTGGTTTTCATATGATCACCAAAGTTAAGCAGTGTTGAGCCTGGTCATTACATAGATGGGTGATTGCTTTGGAATAACAGATGCTGTAAGCTAGGATGTGTGGGTGGTGTAATAGATAATGGCTCAGAATTGGAAATCAGAGCTTAGTTCTAATTCCAGCCATGTTCATTATATTCACATGCTCAAATAACCTTGGGAAAGGTCTGAATCCACCTCTTTTCCCATCAGCTATGGGTTAATTAGTAAAATTTGTATTATTATAATCATTATTATCTGCCCAAAATTCTGACAATCTAAAGATATTTTCTGGCTTTAAGTAACCTGCAATAGGCTGATGAGTCATAAAAAGCAATCAGTTTTATGGACAGTTACCATGGCACAAAGTTTTAAAAAAAAGATAAAAAGAACTATTTGCCATGTAGAAGATGCCAGGTTGGCCACTTCATAGAGGTTGGATTCTTTGCAGAGACAAATACACAAATTTGGAATGATAACCAAAAGTAACAAATGCCAATATAAAAATTAACTAGATTTAATTATGACTAGAATATACATGAAAACATTTAGGTAAGAGAATGCTTGTAAAGATATGTATTGTACATGTCTGTGTAGAAAGATGCATGCATTATTTTGTGAGGGTAAAAGTTGAAACAAAAATTTACCTTGAGTTCTTCTTCTGAAATAAAATAAGATTTACGCTTTTTCCTTTTCCCCCTATGTTTTTCTTTGTCTCTTTTACCTTCAAATCAGCTTTGGTCGCTCAAGTAACAGTGTCCTTTGATCTATTCTTCTTTCTTCAATGTCTCTTTCATTAGTCAGTTGTGAAGGTTCATTTGGTGCTATATGAGTCATATACTTAGCTGTGCAGAATTTACAGTTCAAATTCTTTGTCCAATTGAGTATATCACATATGCCTTTCTTAAGTGACCATCACATTTCATTTATTCACCTATGCCTTCAATGTAAGCATCATAGTGTTGAGTTGGATTAGAGTTTGTCTTTTATTGTGTGATCCCTCTTGCTTGACTGTAACAAGTAGAAAAGGGATTATTCACACAAGATTCATTCCGCTTGATTCTGTGCTTGGAGTTTATATGACTTGGGCACAGCATTCTTCCTCTTCAGTTTGGAGAATCAATTCCCATGAGAATTTAATAGATGATCCACATCTCCTTTGAGCTGCATTATTCCAACTGATTTCTGCCAATCTTTCCCTGCTCAATGATTTGTCATGTATATCAGAATCTATTTTTAGCTTTGGCTGCCGCTTGTTGCTGTGGCTGTCAGTCCCTTTTGACCTAATCATCTTTGCATTCAGCGACTGCTATTATATACCAAAGAGAGAGGGGGAGTTCCCATGTTACATTATTAGAGAGATGGGTCATTAAGTGTAGATTGTATGTGGGTACAGGTTGTGAATTGTGGAAATCAATCAGTCAAAAACACAAATGTCAAGTTTGAAACTGTTGTGGAGTAGCTGAACACCCCCACAAGATGGACTGGTCTAAGACTATTTAAACAGCATTCTCTCTTAGTAAGGGGGAGAAGTTAACAATTAACTGTTTATTGCATTAGTCTGTGTTCTCAACCATGGACCATATTATTCTCCACAATAAACTACTTCTAATTTTCTATATGTGTGTCAACCTTTCCTATTTGCGACACAACAGAAACTGTCAGTGTCTTATTTCATTTTATCTGGTCAATCAGATTTCTAAACTATGAACAATTTGTCTGTTGCAACCAAAGATTTGCCAATTGAAATGTTCACTTCAATTTTAGTGGAAGAAGTGTTACTTCCAAGTTAGATGAACTGATTGACCATTTTGAATAGCTTGTCTGACTGGGAATTGATGGAACCTTATTGATTGAAGCTCAAGATCATGCAGCAAAATTGGTACATTTTGAGTAATGTTGAAAATAAAAATGTTTCTTCATATCAAAATAAACATCATTTCAATATGTACAACTGCAAACCAAAGTGTTTCTTTGATCTTACTTTTGGTATGTTTTTACAACTTTCCAATCATTAGTCAGATCATAATTTAACCAAGGTCTTCTAACTTATAATTTTATTTTTTTAATCATTTCACTCTAAGTTAGTCAGTTATGTGCTATACATGATACACAGTTAGGCATCATGTATCTTTCGATACATGACTGGTGAGGCAGCATTTTTTCCCACAGTAGGTTGCCATTTCTTTCTGTAGTAGACCAGTTGCCATCCAAGGCTATAGAACCCAGTCTGTTCTGCTATTTACCCATAGCTGGGGGAGCCAAGGATATTAGCAAATAAGTGAATGTAATAAATTTGACTGGAATTCAAACTCGGCTCTCCAATTCCTCAATCTGAGATGCTGTCCATTACTCTACTGTGCCTCCTCCCCTCCATTACTCCACCATGCCTCCTCGCCTCTATTACTCCACCGTGCCTCGTCCCCATTTCACCCCAAGCAAGGCAATAAAGCCACTAAGCTGCAAGAGGTTACTGAGTGTTAGAGAATATGAGAAAAAAGCTACTATTATGGAGAGAGGACAATAAAAGAATAAGAATTAAGAAGACAAAAGATAACAACTGACATTGCATTTAAATTTTTGAATATCAAAGTTGATTGGGAAGTAAGTATATATAAATAAAAAAAAAAACAGGAATTAAGACAAATGATGATTGACATGGCATTTAAATTTCTGAAGATCAAAAATGGAATATTGCTGCTATAATAATCCTGCTATATCTCTTAAGATAATTGATAAAATCCAAAGGTTTTTAATGTTATTGATCTTGACCTGGCATCTTTACTACAGCCAATTTCCCATCACTCTGGGATG